TGGTACCTGCTTATATTTTGAACACCAGCTATTTTCAGATCTTCAAAAAAGTGTATCCCGTATGGTCTAGGGATTAATATACCTGGCTCTAAATATGACAGGGTTTTTTAAGCTTCTTTCCCAAATAATTAATTAATATAGATGTTGTAATGTAATGTAATGTAGGTAATTATTTATATGACCAATACATGTTTTAAATAAATATTTTGAAAAACAATTTCGGAAAAAAATATTAAAAATAATTAAAACTTATTTTAATAAGTAAAAACATTTTTTGTTAAATATTTAAAAAACATTTTTAGGATTAAATATTTCAAAGGTACATGGTCCAAATTACCAGCAAGTTTTTTATTTTCCTAATTTTACGTTGGTAACATGGTACCTGCTTATATTTTAAACACCTTCTATTTTTGTTTTAAATCTAGATTCAGATCTACAAAAATTATATCCCGTATGGTCTAGGGATTAATATACCTGGCTCTAAATATGACAGGGTTTTTTAAGCTTTTCCCAAATAATAAATTAACATGGATGTAGTAATGTAATGGAATATATTTATTTATATGACCAATACATGTTTTAAATGAATATTTTGAAAAACAATTTCGGAAAACAATTGAAAATAGTTAAAACTTATTTTAATAATTAAAAACAATTTGTTTTAAATATTGGAAAAACATTAAAATTTTTAGGATTAAATATTGCAAACGTAAATGAACCATAAGCTCCATATTACCAGCAAGATTTCCCCAAATAAAATTCGGATTTTGTTGTAATATTTTTATTTTTTTAATTTTACGATGGCTACGTGGTACCTGGTTATATTTTAAACACCAGCTATTTTTGTTTTAACTCTAGATTCAGATCTACAAAAAAATATATCCCGTATGGTTTAGGAGTTAATATACCTGGCTCTAAATTTGACAGGGTTTTTCTAAGCTTTTATCCCAAATAATATAGATGTTGTAATTGGGTCAGAATTTCTCAAACGGGCCACCTGAATTTGGTCAAAATTAGTTTTTGATTGTAGATACATTTTTTCGATAGTATTTTACATCACTAACACAAATCCTAAAGGATTTTGTAAAAAAAAAATTTTCAATTGACATATTCATGATATTAAAAGTAAAAGTTTTTAGTAATTAAAAAATAAAAAAAAATCATTATGGCTAAACTAATTATCCGATTCCAACGATTTAACTAGCGTTGGAATCTTGTTTTGACATAGATTCTTTGTTATTTTTTTCAATTGTACAATTTTCATTTAGGTCGATTTTTTTTTGTTTTTTTATAACAAATTCGGAAATAATTGGCTTCTGCGCCAGCTATCGACTCGAAAAAAAAAACACATATACTCCAATCATTTTTGGCCCGCAGGTTCCAGACCACCGTAAGACGTCGCGTCACAAGCGCGTACAGCGTACACGGTTCGGAGCGTGAGCTGACACCGCGCGCGGCCACAAAAGGACGAATAACTTTTTGTCAACCTGCGGGCCATTTTTTTTCTCAGCAGCATAATTTCGAGAAATGATTGGAGTATATGTGTTTTTTTTCTCGAGTCGATAGCTGGCGCAGAAGGCAATTATTTCCGAATTTGGTATAAAAAAAACAAAAAAAAATCGACCTAAATGAAAATAGGACAATTGAAAAAAATAACAAAGAATCTATGTCAAAACAAGATTCCAACGCTAGTTATATCGTTGGAATCGGATAATTAGTTCAGCCATAATGAATTTTTTTATTTTTTAATTATTAAAAACTTTGACTTTTAATATCATGAATATGTCAATTGAAAATTTTTTTTTTACAAAATCCTTTAGGATTTGTGTTAGTGATGTAAAATACTATCAAAAAAATGTATCTACAAACAAAAACTAATTTTGACCTAATTCAGGTGGCCCGTTTGAGAAATTCTGACCCAATTTAATTTAATGTAATAATTTATATGACCAATACATGTTTTAGGTAAATGAATATTTAAAAAAATAATTTCGGAAAAAATGTGAAAATAGTTTTGCAAAAATTTACTTGTAAAATTTATCAAAAAACGGTTATAATCGGTATAGTTGTGATTAACTTTGAAACGCTTAAATTTATTAAAAAAAACTAAAGAAACCTTTTTTGTAGATTAATAAATTTTGAACAAAATTATGTATTACTTTCATAGACCAATACATAACTTATAAACATTTTTGGGATTAAATATATACCTATGTTAAAGGTAAATTTACCACGAAAGCTCTATATTACCAGCACGATTTCTTTCCCCAAATGAAATTTGGACCTTGTGAAATTAATATTTTCTTAATTTCACGATGCTTATTTTCATACTTATGAGTAGGTATAATAAATTATAAAACAATTAAATAATCTGGAAACAGTAAAAGAGGGTTCCATAATACCAGCCACTCCTCTATTTTATCGTAAAACGATGGCTTTAATAAACTAAAGGAAAAAGACGCCAACTCTAGCCAGGGTAGTATTAAGTAGAATTTAGACCCATAGGGACAATACACGATACTTATTACGTATTTACGAATAAATCTATTAAAATAATAATAAAATACTCACTATCTATGAACTGTTTGTAAGTATGTATTTATATTGTCCCCAAAAATGGCACAGTACATATGTATATGCATTATTTATAATTTTAAATATTTTCAGAATAATAATTTTTGAATTGCCATTTTTGGGAGGACCTGTATATTTTTGTGCTAATATTCATGTACTTAAATGACTGTACTTCACTGTATTAGGCCTAAATACCTATTGTCCTGTTGTGTGGACCAAACTTTAGCCAAAAAAAGTTAGTTTTAGTCAAATATAGGTAATATATGTCAATTTTATTTAGATATAACCTATACCTATATGTAAAAGTGGTTAAATAAAATATGAATGAATAAAATTACTATTTATGTTTTAGTTTGGTGTATAGGTTGTTTATACTTATGTAAATTTCTATTATATTATATTGAAGTTGATTTTCTGTATAAATTTAATAAACAATTAAAAATTAAATTGTAGTTTTATTTAAACTAAACCACAAAAGTTTAAAAAAATAAAATTACTATTTATGTTTTAGTTTGATGTATAGCAGAGCTGGACACGAGTACTAAAAAAAGTATTCGTAAAATTTTAAGTACGAGTACTTAAAATATTACTCTACTCGTACATTTGTAAAGAGAGGTAACGGTTACGAGTAGTAATCGTGAAAACACGAATAAAAAGTACAAGTACTTTTGAAAAAAAAAAGTTAGTTAAAATAATTGATTATTCTTTACTCTCTAAATAGGGTTTGTCAAAAATGCATTTTTGTTTGACTAATTGTCATAGCTAAAAAGAAGCCACTAATAATTCGCGACAATAGCAATTTGTATTTTTAACATTTAGCAGTCAATTTTAGAAAAGTAAAACAGTTTTTGAGATAAAGTTCATTTTCCATATAATATGGAACTGACAATATCTCAAAAACTGCTCCACTTTCATAATTTTTGACGGAATTTTCACTAATTTCCACTAATAACTGTAGTAATTAGTCATTTTTGACTAATTCATTTTTAGAGAGTGTACATTATACATACTTTGGTCCTGAGCAAATACAAATTTATAAAATTATTTATTTTAAACATTATGTACATAAAATAGTTTATAATTTTACCTAGTTACTTGTTATAAAACCTATATAATATATTATAATATACTATAATATAATATATGAGTACCTTAGATGCAAAACTCGGTTTTTGCAAATTAAAAAATAAAATAAAATTGACTTTAAATTCTGTTTAGTGTTCGTCCTAGATAAATGGCGTTTATAAAACTTGATACATAATAATATATATAATATAATATTATTATGTATCAAGTTTTATGAACGCCATTTATCTAGGACGAACACTAAACAGAATTTAAAGTCAATTTTATTTTATTTTTTAATTTGCAAAAACCGAGTTTTGCATCTAAGGTACTCATATAATATATTATATATATATATTATAATATGATTATATTATAATATTATACTATATATTATAAATATAATAATATTTTGTTTGGAAGTCATCGATATAATAAACGGAAATACTCGTATACATTACTCGTGTATTCCACGAGTATTTTTTACGAGTACCTACATTGAATTTGGTTTGTAAGTACGAGTAATAAGTACTTCAAATGAAAAATACTTATGAGTGAAAAAGTACTCGTACTTTTTTACTTGTAATTGAAATACTCAGTACTTGGCCAGCTCTGGTGTATAGGTTGTTTATAGTATAAACAACCTTTAAACTTTATACTTATGTTAATTTCTATTAAGTATATTATATTGAAGTCCGGCTGAAGAACGAAAGTCAATGGCCTTTTGAAAAATGTATTTTTTTCAATAAAGAACATTTATTATTATTATTATATGGAAGTTGATTTTCTGTATAAATTTAATAAACAATTAAACAATTAAATTAAAGTTTTATTTAAAATTATTCCTCCACTAAACCACAAAAGTTTAAAAAAATAAAATTTTGTAATACCTAACCCCAATATTAATTTAATTAATAATAAATAGAACCAAACCCGCCTTTTAACTCGTATAACTAAGAAAAAGAAATGTGTTAATCTTGTTGTTATTATAAAAAGGTAAACAAATTAAATAAGTGATTAAATATTCAGTTATAAATTATAGTTAATTATGATTGCATAATCAGACCTTGTACTTATCTCATGTTAAAATTTGTCTTTTTTTTATTTTCAGAACATCATCTAATTAATAACATTTAAGATACTAAATAAAAATTAAATAAAACTTTGGTTATTGGTACAAAATATGGACTACATATTTTATTTAAATAATAAACGTATGCACAAACACAAAAAAATACCTATTTATTGAATTATAATCATTTAAATACTTAGGTACTATAGTATACAATATGAACAAGTTTATCCTCCAATTAACATATTTTTGCATATAAATTCCAGTATAAATAAGCAGTCCTAGATTATTTTTTCATTCTTTGTTATTGGTATTATTATTGCAATGAAGCTCCTAATATTTTTACTCCTTACAGTACTTTTAATAAACATAACGAATGGTGAGTTTTTATTAAGGTGCGTTTATAAATAATTCAATCTATAATATGAAAATCGTAGGAAGTAAAACTTGTCCGGAAAATGAAGTTTTTGAAGAATGCCAAAGCAGTTCTTGCAGAGATCTTCCTTGTGGTGTAAAAAAGGCCTCCTTTTGTACAGCTGATTGTGTTACAGGTTGTTTTTGTGCTGATGGATATGGAAGAAAAAATCGTAGGGATAAATGTGAAAAATGTTAATTTTTAATATAGGTACCTACTTATGTAACTAGGTAGAGCTGAAATTGGTTTTAGTTTAGTTTAGTTTTAGTTCTAATCAATTGAAATAAATTTATTCAGACTTTTATAATTTTTTTAATCGCGAGACATTGACCTCGATGTCTGCGTTTTGTGCATCGGGTTCTGTGATTAGGCAACTCAACTAACAGCATTTGCAATAACACAAGATTGTTTTTTGCAAACAAATCAAATAATTTTAATAATTATAAACTAAGTTGCGTTTATATAATCTTTAAGTTCTTAAATTAACCTGGATTTTAAAGTCAACCCTATTTCTTTAGTTTGTCAACCTTGGTAGGTTATTTTATTTTATCATGTTTGTCACAGTGGATTTTAATATTTGTGTTTTTTTGAAATTGTATTTGAAAAAATCAGAAGCAGAAGTAGTTTTTTATAAAAAAAGATTTATTTATATTTGATATTTCCAATAAAACAACCCAAAGTAACTTTAAAGCATTTTATTACATGGCACTGTACGTCTGTGTAAAAAACTCGCCATTCAAAAACCTGTAGTAAAACTGCCCGCCGCTGTAGCAGGCATAGGGCACGAACAACAACGAAACATCCAAATCGGGAAAAAACTTCCCCAACAATTCCATAAAACGCTGATATTTATCCGGCAGCCTCTTCAAACGCCGCATAAAGTTGTGCATTCTCGTTACGTTAACTGGGTTGCATACCTTCGCATCGTCGTGCGAGATTTTATTGAAATACGCTTTCAGAGCTTTCAGGGGTTTTCTTTTGAGTACTGTGGCTACGCAGGGTGTATTCGGGCATGCTTTTGGTTTACATTGCGGTAACGAATGTTTTTTCTTATGATTTTTGTGAAAATCTAAAGAAGAAGAAACAATAACTATTGGGTTGGTATTGGATTGTTGTTTGATTTATGTTGGTGCGACTGTGGAAGCATTTGTTTTCAAAACTGCGGCTTAACAAAAGTTTTTTGTGTTTTGAAGTGTGTTTTGTGTTAAATCGTCCAACAATTTTACATGCTGAAACAGGAAAGGCAATTAAACATTTATTTAAAATATATGGTTTTATCATAAAATGTAGTATTAAAATTGTGTTTTAGGGCTTAAAAATGGTGTTTTTTAAATTGTTAAATTGCACAAAAATTAAAATCATATGTTTGACAGTTATGACATATCATGTATTTCATGATTGTTTTGCCAGGATAAATCAAGGCATGCCTATGTTTTGTAGAGAAGGATATCCTCATATGAGCACTTTCAAAAGCACTAATAAGTACTCATAAATGCTCGAGCGCTTATAAATAAATGCTCGAGCATTTACCAAAGTGCTCGATATTTGATTTTGGCGCCAAAACTAAAAAGCGGGGTATAAATTAACCAACAAATCTAAACTACTGTTTACATCAGAACATGTGCAGGTCACAAAAGTGGTGTAGGTTTATCCAATTCCAAAATGGTTTAGTAACCTCTATTTTGTAGGAATTTTTTTTTTAATAATTTTTTTTATTAAATTTATATTTTATCGTTTATAAATGCTCGAGCATTTATGAGCGCTTATGAGCACTTATGAGTGATTTGTAAAGCGCTCTAGCATCTGCCATCTATAATTTTTTGTAACAGCCAATGAAATTCACTGTAAAAGTGCGGTTATATCATAAAAACTCAAATAGTTAATATACCGGTATTTGTGGAGCTGTCATCAGAACTAATCGATGACACTAACGATTTTTTCTTAATTCTCGTCAGTTTGGTTTTTGCGGAACCTTCGTTTGACAGGCGGCTCGATTCGCAGGTGAAATCGCTATCGCTGCGCTCGAAACTTGACAACGTCGTCGTAGACGTTGCCGTACTTACTTCTGTTTGCGTTCGTACTTTTTTGAGTGATTTAACGCGTTTAAGAATAGTTTTATGTTCGTGTTCGGTGAATTTAAATGATTTTCTGCGTATTTTTTTTTGTTTTTTCGATTTTTTAAGGGCGTATAGGCCGTAAGGGTCGTTTTGAAGTTTTTTGAGTTCCGATTCTTCGGCTTGTAGTTCTTGGAGTCGCATTTTCTGCCAGTGGTGGTTCATGCAGTTATTTTCAGCTTCTGTAATTTATTTTTTATTTTTTGGAAAACTTTTTTTTATGTTTACCTACCTTGCATAATTTTGCTGAGGTTGCTTTCCTCCAAACTAAAATCGCCCCTTTTTTCTTTTTCATCCTGTAATTTTTTCGCCTTTTTGTAGTAAACATTTTTGCATTTGTGAAAACTGTCCAGCTTTTTTCCTTTTTTGTTGCAATCTTCGGAGCAATAATAGACTAACTCGCATTTTGGACATAAAAACAAGTCTTTACCCTCGCTTTTAAGACAATTAAAACATACCCTATATTGTTTTAAATTGTCCAAACCTGGAATTTTGACTGGATATTTTTTCTTTTTTTGTTTGATTGGGTTGAAGTCTAGACCATCTATGATTTCTAAAAAATTTGTTTGGTTATGAACTTTTTCAAACATGAGATAACTAGGTATTTAAAAATTAAATAAACATACCTTCAAATGTGGGGGGTAATGGCTCCAAATTAGCCTTGGATTTTCCCTTTTTCTTCGACTTTTTACTGCTTTTACCTTTTGACGACTTTTTGGACGACTTTTTTGACTTTTTCGAGGATTTCGATTTTTTTGATTTAGAAGATTTACTTTTTCCTTTTTTTCCCTTCTTCCCCTTTTTACGTTTCTTCTTAACTTTCTTCTGATTTTTCTTCACAAACTCCAAAATTCTCACACAAACATCCTTATCAAACCTCTCGAGTGGTATATTTTTTCTGTTGAAGAATATTTGAAGGTCTTTTACCACTTGATCTGGGTTTAAAAATTGTGCTAAATACTTAAGGGTAGGAATATCTAACAAAGTATTTTCTTCGGAAAAATCGTAAAAAGCCTTTGTTAACCTCTTCTGTATACACCTATGTATGTTAACTCTGCATAGTGCCTTCAAATAGTCGGTGGTGTCAATTTTTTTCTTTTTCTTGCTTTTTTTCGACGATTTACTTTTTTTGGATTTTGATTTTGTTTTCTTACTGCTTTTACTTTTGGATTTGCCTTTTTTACCCTTTTTACCCTTTTTCCCCTTCTTACCTTTTTTGTTGGTTTTGAAAACTTCATATTCTTTGTCCATAAAAGCAACAGCATTTTCAAAATCTCCCACTCTGTGTAGTGGGTTACCACCGGAATCGACTATACAATCCATAATTTCTTTACAAACATCTAAACTGTATATACCCTTATACCTTTTCAGTATGAATAAAGTCAAAATATTACCCATATTATAATCCAGAAGGGCGTATGGATTCATTTTCCCACTTTCAAAAATAGCTTGAATCAACTTTAGGTTTCCTGATATCGCAGCCAGTGAAAAATAGTTGTGTCCCAAATACTTTACTTTATTGGAGTGTTTATATAAAGCTAAAAACATTTTCTTAAAAAAATCGCAATTGTCCAAGTGATGATCCTGCCGTAGACACAAAATATGTAAAGGTGTCTTCCCTAGATCATCATCAAACTTGATATTACTATTTTTTCCTAATAGTTTAGTTTTAATATGATTCCAATGACTTTCAACTCTTAAATCAGGATTGCAGAATTTCAACAATGTTTTACATATTTCCACATTTTCCAGGCAAGGCTCTGAACTTGTTATAACGTGTAATGGTGTCAAACCATCTTCCAAAATAATATCAGGGAACGCTCCTCTATTTAACATCTCAAAAACAATCTGGGGTTTTTTGGAAAACAACCCTAGAAATATGGTTGGTATTGGGACGTCACAAATATCACTGTCGGCTTTATGCTCCAATAATTTAAGTATTGTCTTTTCCACACTTGGGAGTTTTTGCAGTATTTCCCTTGGTGGTATTACTTTAGGTTCTCTGGTTTTGCTTTTTTTTTGTTTCTTTGATTTTTTCTTTACTTTTGATTTAAAACGTGGTTTTAACTCTATTTTAAACAAATATTCTTGTTCTTTGATTGCATCTTCTTCGATAATATTTTCAAAACTTTCCCTGTATTTAATTTTAATGGAATCTTTTGAATGTTTTGGGCACCATTTTGTCGTCTTTTTGAAGTCATCCACTTCTATTGGGGTTAAAAACGCATCTTCCCATGAGGTAACATCATACAGTATAGCTAGATACCTCAATAAAGATATGTTTAAAGCATTCAACCCTTCATCATTTATATAGTCTAACTTCGCTCCCAGTTTACATAACATATCAATCGTACTTAGATTATCTTTCGAAGCTGCCAAAATAACACCGGAATTGCCCTTATTATCACAAACATCAGGGTTTATATTTGTTGTGGTGGTATACAGAGTAAGGATGGCTAAATCATCTTGTCGACAGCTTTTCTCCAAAAAATCCACGCAACTTCTTTCGTACGCACCCGGTATGTGATCGTTTAGAGCGCCCGTTAGGACGTTGCAGATGTTGAAGTTGATGTTATTTTCAAATTTTCTGTTGAGAAAAGAATGGCATAACATCGCCATGTATATCGGTTCATTGCTTATTGATAACAGTTCTTTTATGGAGACTTTTTTTATCACTGGCTTATATTCTTTCAAGTTGAACTCGATGAAAATTCGGGCTTTGAGATGTGCTTGTATGTTGCTCAAGTAATTTCTGGCTATTTCCAGTTTCTCCAGTTCCAATTCAATGTAATCAATATCAATGTATTTCTCAAAGCATTGGCACGGGTCTTCAAAAAGTTTTAGCACATCATCATGTATATTGTCTTCCTCCTCGTAAAGGTTTTCATCGTATTTATTTAGCATGCTATTTGAGTAATGCGTGGTTCCAAAACTTGAAAAAGAAATATTCGCGTGACTTATTAAATCGTCCAAGTCGGTATTGGTGTTAATGTAACTTTTATCAGTGTTAATGTTTCTTTTATAGGTAAAATTACTTTCGAAATTTTCGTATTCGGGCTCCGGGGGATAGCAACACAACCTGCAAATTTCCATTTGTTTAATTAATGCCATTTTACGTTTATTTAACACTTCTAGCTTCTCTCTTATCAGATTTAACTCATCGCAAATTTTCGTGAATCTGTATTGACTCGCTGCATCAATTTGTAGTGTTTCTTCGTCTATGTTTTCTTCTTCAGGAACTATAACGTCTATGGTGCAATCGTTTTCAGTATAGAAGGTATCGTTGAAGATGGTTTTGTTGAAGAATAGACAGTTTGTGTGGCGTACTTCGTTGTTGTAGAAGTGTTGGGTTGTGTCGAATATATTTTTGTCTATATTTATGTCGTACAACATTTTTGTGGCTGTGTCTTCGTATTGCGGGCATACCGGTATCATGTATTTGTATTTGAGCAATCTTAATTTTCCATTTTCACTTGTTGCTAGCTTCGGCACGCATTCTGGTAACACAGTTGTGCACAAACGCATCAAATAATCGTCCTTCCACATACCCACATCCCTTTCCCCGTTTTTGTAATAAAAAACCCCAGGACCAAACCGATTGTTATCCTTGAAAAGTCCTTCAAACTTTCCTCCGTTCTCATAGTAAATCTGACCGTACCCTTCAAACTTGTTCGCGTAGAATGGACCATCGTAGAAAAAATTTTCGCCGTTCTTCTCGAACTTGTAAAACCCTTTCCCGTGTAAATTGTTCTTCAAGATTTGACCCGTGTAGCTTTGCCCGTGCGATTCGTAATACCATCGATAGGTCGCGAAATTTTCGTTTCCAAAATATAACCTTTCTGGTCGATCTTGCGTCTGGTTGCCAGGTTCAGAGGCTAAGGAGTTTGTCAAAATGGCTGACATTTTGGATTATCCGGAAAATTTTCTCATTAGTTGGGTTTAATTTCGTTACGTAATATAAGATTTAAAGAAGATTATTTCCATAAAATATACATCACAAGTTATTAAAAACAAAATAATTTTTTTGGCATTCATGTTGTTTATTTTTTATTTCGACTTTGACAGAGTCAAGAATTTAGGGGTTTGGTTGGCTAACATAAAAGTTACCAAATACTATTTTTGTTCTTTTACTGGGTCGATTCTCTAATATTATCAAAACTTCCATTGAATGTTTTGGATACCACATGGTTTAAATATTTGGTTAAAAAATTTATATACGAATTTGGATGTTTGCATATCGAAAAAAAAACGTATTTTTTAATATTTCGAAAACAAAGGCCAATTAAGCAAAAGTTTGGGTATTTTTGGAATCAGTGTACCCAAATTACCCTGAAAAGGTTGTTGGATTTTTTTTATTGTTGGTTTAAAACGCGGCTTCAACTTTATTTTAAACAAATATTCTTGTTCTTTAATCTTTTTCGATATTTTCAAAACTTTCCCTGTATTTGGTGTTAATAAATTTTTTTAAATGTTTTGGGCAGCATTTTGTCGTCTTTTTAAAGTCATCAATATCTTTTGGGGTTAAAAACGCTTCTTTCCATAAGGTAACATACAGTATAGCCAGATAACTTAATAAACATAAATTTAAAGCTTCGCTTATAGTTTACATAACATATCAATCGCGCCTAGATTATCATTTGAAGAGCTTGGCAGCTCTGCCAAAATAACACTAGGATTGCCCATATTATCACAAACATCAGGGTTTATATTTGTTGTGGTGGAATACAGTGCACGCAACTTCTTTCGTACGCACCCTGTATGTGATCGTTTAGAGCGCCCGTTATGACGTTGCAGATGTTGAAGTTGTTACTTTCAAATTTTCTGTTGAGGAAAGAATGGCATAACATCGCCATGTATATCGGTTTAGTGCTTATTGACAACAGTTCTTTTATGGCGACTTTTTTATCACTGGCTTTTATTCTTGCTTATATTGTGTACAAACGCGTCAAATAACCCAAGCAGCATTTTTGGTTCCAAAAACCATTGCTAAAGTGGTGATAACTTTAAATTAGTTAAGTATACTAAACAGCTACTTTAATTTTTACTTAAAAGTATTTCTAACTTTAAAATAGCAATATTTTGTAATAGAAACTTAATTTTTCCCTAAATGGTTACTATAAAGTAATAAACATTTAAGTAAAACTTGGTTGCCCCCAAGAATACTTTGCAACTTAAAAAAAGGTGTTATAAGTAAAAAAAACTTTCAAATAAATTTAATTTGTAGCAGTTACTTTCGGTTGCTACCGAAAGATTACATTATAATTACTTTTACTTTGTAGTCCCTTTGCAAGTTAAAATCTCGAAACTGGAACATGAGTTAAAAACTATAAAGTTAATAACTTAAAAGTTATTATTTTAGTATTTGGAACGTTTATGGTACTAACCAAAACTACCGTAAAGTAAATTAAGGTGGAAAAACACTTTAAAGTAGCGAAAACTACTTCAAAGGAAAATGCTTCTTATCGGCCATTTTTTACTGTACAGTACCACGTGGTAATGTAAATAATAAATTATTTTAATTGTTTGTAAATGGTTGTTTACTTTTTAATAAATAGTAATTTTGTTGCTAATAGACGGTATTTATAATCAAATTAAAAAAAATAATAATAAATATTAAGATTTTTTTATTTATAAACATTATTAAATAAATAATTTGTTTATACTTAAATATTGTTGAAGCGCATTTATTTTACAAAAACTAATTCAACAGTAAAATTTAAAGGGTTTATAAATTTACCTGCCTAATTAAACATTATATTGTTATTCAGGAAGTTATAAACTTCCAGTACATATTTAATAAACGACGACATTAAAAAGCCAAGTCCGTAGTGGTTCCATTAAAAAAAAAGGGGGATAGTATAATCTAATATAAGTTTGACAAAGACAGTTAATATAGAAGTAAAAATAAATAAATAAAAGTAATTATAACGCTCTAGCAACGATATTGGAACGTTCTAGTAACGTAGCAGCTACGTTCCAAATAGTAGCAGGGTTTATAGCTAGTGACATATTTGTTACCTTTTTGGAACTCAATAATTGTTCCCCACTTTAGTCGTAACTTAGTAATAAAAGAGTAATATAAAGAGACCGGCGATTGTCGCTAAACACTTTTAAGTTTCTTCAGTAGTCCCATATACGTAACAAATACTTAAATTGTTGCTTGGGAATGGTCCTTTTACATACCCATATCCTTTCTGCCGTTTTTGTAATAATATACCCCAGGACGAAACCGATTGTTATCCTTGAAAAGTTCTTCAAACTTCCCTCCGTTCTCATAGTAAATCTGAGCGTACTTTTCAAACTTGTTCGTAGAAAAAATGTTCGCCGTTCATTTCGAAATCCTTTTCCATGTAAGTTGTTCTTCAAGATTTGACCCGTGTAGCTTTGCTGGTGCGATTCGTAATACCATCGATAGGTCGCGAAATTTTCGTATCCAAAATATAAGGTTAAGAGGCTAAGGGTTTTGTCAAAATGGATTATCCGGAATGTTTTCTCATTAGTTGGGTTTAATTTGGTTACGTAATATAAGATTTAAATTATTTCCATAAAAGGTACATCAGAACTTATTAAAAACAATAGTATATTACACTACAAGGGCAGAAAGTGCGAGATTCCTGCACTGCGCGCCACGATGCCCGAGGCGAAGCCGAGGGCATCATGGCGCGCAGTTCAGGGCCCTCACACTTTCTGCCCGTGTAGTGTATACTATTTTTCTTGCTACCCCGCAGAAAATACGGGAAAAAATTAAATGTATATAAAAAAACTTGTGTCAAAATTAAAATCTGACGTTTAATTTAATTCTGACGTTTACATTCAAAATCAATCAAACTGTAGCGTTGTCATGGTAATTCAGCGGTGCCAATACAGTAAAAATAAAAGGTTGTATTTTAATTAACAAATTACTACTTTATAACAAATAAAAGTACCATTAAACACTTAAAACAACATAAAAAGTAAAAAAGTAAAAACATAAATTGTTTATTTGTTGTTATAATTGCAAAATTATGGTTTAAAACTGTTATATTTTTGTGTTTCTCATGTTGGCAGTACGAAATTTGAATGTTAAGCACACGACTAAAAAATTTTTACTCCCGCTATTAGAGTGTGCGCGTATAGCTTGACCAATGCAAGAAACGTAAACTTTCTGCCGTGAAATCGGGGACGAAACAACGTATTTTGAGTCGAGGTAGTAAGAAAAAATTTTGGCATACATGTTTTTATTTGGACTTTGACAGCGTTAAGAATTTGGCGGTTCGGTTGCATCTATGTTCGGTTGGCTAACATAAAAGTTCCTAAATTCTATTTTTGTTCTTTTACTGAGACCATTTTCTAATATTATGAAAACTTTCATTGAATGTTTTGGGCACCACTTGGTTAGGCAACCCACTGCACAGACTCTAACGGCGGCCATTTTTATGTTGTTTACAATTCTTGTTCTTTGGATTTGTGCTATTTAAACAGATTAAAAATCGTTTTAAACGTTGTGTTTCTTACAGAGGCACTTGTAAGCCTCAAATGAGGCCTTAAAGTGCTAAAGGACAACCATTTTACTCCTCTTTTGTTAAAAATAAACCTTATTCTATCCATAAACCACAAATTAACCTTAAAATTGACATAAACAATTTAATGACAGCCTTGTGTTCAAGCACCCAGTTTATTTTTAGCAACTCATTTAGCCCCTATTTACCAACATTCTTTTATTTCACCGTTAAAGTAAACAAGATAACACGATAAAGCTTTAGATAATAAACAACCCCGCTAAGCCACTTTGTGTTAATTATATAAAAGTGTCGGATTTTAAGTGTACACTTGTCGAAAATCGATTTCCACTCGAATTGCCACAACAGTTGATATCAACACTTGCTACCGAAAACTAACAATTATTATATAAAATTCATTGTGTAATTTGCGTCGATTTTACAAATTGATAAATTCGTTCCATAAATTATGATTTAATGGTTAGGGGTTTTACCTAATAAATTCTCATCCTTTTGGGGGATGATACTACACTCCAAAACAAGAAAATTTTTCCTCTTATTTGCACTAGAGCTACTGTTTTTTAATAAAAAAATAATGAAATTTTTTTGACAAAACCAGCCACTGGATGTCACTATATATCATAATTGTTTTTACCTCTAAAAACAATTATATTATTCATCCAAGCAAAAAAGAAACAGGGATGCGCACAGTGTATTATGTTATATCAAGCAAACTTTTAAACTCGGTTATCACTGACTTAGGTTTTTATTGTGTTTTCTCTGAGGCTACATGAACAGTTTCGTGTACCAGAGCGAAGTTGACACATTAGAACAACTCTGCGAACTTGTCACTGCAGCGGCAGATGAAATCCGAAATAATCCGGATATGATAGCAAGAGCGACACATCATAAATGTCTACGCCGCTGTCAACTTTTGTGTGGATAATAACGGCGGAATAGTTGAACATTTATTATAATTTTGTAGAACACTTAAAAAAATAGCTACATGAGCATCAATCGACGTAAAAAGTAAAAGGTGAAATTTAAAATCGACGAGAACCTCGAGATATCTAACAATAAAAAGTAAGTATTGTTTTATTCAAAGTACCTAAAAATATCTGAGTATGCTAAAGTTGTCATACTTTACTTATAAAAATTTTAATTATTTTAAAAAAATGCCTCTAATGCAAAAATGATGGAGGAAAAAACTTTCTTATTTTGGCGTTTACTATCATGGACCGGAGTTTAATAATATAGAAATTTTAAATTAAAAAAAACATAATAGGACCCTTACAGCCTGTAAGTTACAGGTGTTGCTAATCAGGTTATTGTGTCGGAAAGTTTCTTCTTACCGATGTTGACTCTAAAGTTCCATTGCATAAATATCCGCGTTGTTCAGTAGACGGAAAAGAAACGATTCAGGGA